ATAAAAGTCGTCTTTCACTGGACCATCGGTACAGTCTGTGGGGGCGTAGGCAGCGATGAGAAACAGACATCTATTAGCCCCGCGCGACTTCGACACTTTGAATGAGCAAGCTACTGATTGGGATCCAATCAACAAGAGCAGATTCAGGCCGAGAACTCAAGGCAACACCAACGCCGACTTGGCCGGTACTCGAAGCTGCATCGTCTCCGGATAGACGCAATGAGAAAGCACTGCTAGTGTCACCTGAAGGGGATCGCAGAGTGAAGAGAGAGCTCCGGTCTTGTAGGCGGGTTTCCGATAGGCAACAGATATCGATCGAGGGGGTCTCTAATGTTCGGGCAAGTGCTGTCTGTTGACCGATCTGTAACATTGTGCGTACGTTGAAGCATGCCAATCTGGGGGAGGATCGGGAGCTCCAAATAGAAGTCGAAGATCTGGGCTTGACCGCTTGGTTAGACATGGGCTTGTCGATAGGGCAAGCGTGACCGCGTTTGCATGTGAGTTGAAACTAGAAGATAAACGCCTATCAAAGCATGGTGGGGGAGGGCCAAGAATTGGGGGTTGAAAACAGGAGGGATAAAAGTGAAGTTGGAGCGGGACGATAGTGGTGAAAAAGCGTAAGATGGGGAATAAGAAGGGAAGGCTGGAGAAGTAGAATACAAACCCCTATCCACCCTGCATGATGCAGCAGATAGGGCACCGTTGATTATCCTCTGCGGTGGCCATAGCATCAGGAAATTGTTCGAGGAAAGATGCATAGTATTGCGTGGACAAGATACCGTCAGACTGCCCAGACCTAGACGGGAGAACGACTAGGGTTCTCAATTAAAGCCTTTGGTTCAAAAACCTGACCGCAAGACAGAGGGTTTGGCAGTGGACTACAAGGATTTCGTTTTAAGGAATAAGGAGCCACCGTCGTTCCAACCCCAACCTAGAGAGGCAGGAGACCGTTTGTCTGGCCTCTAATCATTGACCAATCTGGTATGAGTGGTTCTGTAGGTGCAAAAAAAACACCACCCAGCATAGCTCAATGGATTCCTGAGGCACGGAAGCCATCGCACCACGGTAAGGTACAGTTTCATTGCGATGGACTGAAGCGATACACCCCGAAAGTAACCACTGCTGATTCCAACGTGCCTAGCAGCCGTTTTGCAATGTGTGAACGGTTGAGCTAAGAGAATTTAGTGAAATCGGTCATCAACGCATTAGAAAACAGAAGAATAGTCAGGAATCCATAAAACGAGCGTAACCTGTAAACCAAGACTTCGGGAAAGACAAATTCAACAAAGCAACCGAAAGGGTAGGTGCTGGATACCGAAAACAATTAACTGCACTAACCTTGACCATAGTCACCTCGGGACCACTGAATACAGACGGTTCGCCCATGTCGTTCCACGTGAACATAGTGTCCGTGCGGACGGGGTCGTAAGACAAGAACTGTCCGGCCCACCACTGCCGAACTCTTGGGCTTGTAAAGTCGGGCCAGGCACTTGAGCCAGGCCAGCACCAGCCTATGTAGTTGGAGTTGTCCGATGTTTTGACAAAATAATTATTCGCTACGCCATCACTATGGTGAAGTGGGGAGTGAAATGAAACAATGGGTTGGTAAAAAACTGCTGGAAGAACAACAAATGATGGCAAACCAGTTGGGGTGTAACATCGCAGAAGCGTGACAAGCGCAAGGATTGCAGTGCAAAAGCACTACTATCGAGAAAAGCGTCATGGATGTTGAAAGAGATTGCTTGACTTGACAAACACAATCTACGATGACCGAGTCTCCATATCCAAAAGAGAGTGGAATAGGGTAGCTTAAGTTTAAAGTTATCATCATCAACAGCAGTAAAACAGTCACGTAAATTGATGCTTCATCGCCGTACAACCACAAAGACCTAAGGAATGAACAATAATAACACTGTGCAACATCGTTTTATAATAGAAATGAGATAGGATGTTCCTAGTAGTACCAAACCAAATGTTTGTATGACGTCAGGTGCTTTCAATTTCAATTTTATATTGGCTAAGCAGTGCATTCCATGCATCGAATGATCGCCTGTGATTGGTCTATTGGCACCCTGTAATCGTGGGAAAGAAGTACTCTTGGTGATGGCATGTACCCGATACTGTAAGCCGATTAAGAGCTGTGTTTCCTTATTTGCAAAAGTCTGCTAACAGACATAATGCCATCAGAAACCATGGGTTTCAAACGAAGGTACAGAAACAGTAAAACAAAACACAACACAACAATGTCCATGGTTTCCTCAGAGGGCGAGATACTACCCGGTTGCCCAAGCCGAAGTAGGCTGTGTTTCCTTAATTGATCATGGCTAAAGAACAATGTTGCGTCGATGAGCAAAATCATTTTTGTTAAGTCTGTGGACAGTTTACTAACAACTCGCAGTGCAGACCTATTCCTTCACTACTGAAGTCTGTCTATAACGCATATTTCGGGATGAAATTATGAGATCAGGATAAGAAGTGGGCGCCACATATTCTTTGTGTGTCGTGCAATCTTCATCTGACTCAGTGGCTCAACGGTAAAGGCAAGATGCCCTTTGCAATCCCCATTGCGTGAAGGGAGCCAAAGGATCACACGGAAGACTGCTACTTCTGCCTAACCTGTATTGGAATCTCCAACCGAAACAAAGACCAAATCCATTCCCCCAATCTTCCATGTCTCCCATGATTGCACCTTACCCATTCCAGTGTCACCAGTGAATATGACACGGATGATGAGCAGTGATTCCGCATGGTCAACTTACTTGATTCTGACATCCGTGGAAATTTTGAAGATGATGTTGTCAACCGCATCTTATTAAACAATCAGAGCTGAATGACTTAGTACGTGACTTGGACTCGCCTAAAGACAAGGCCGAGTTGCTGGCATCTCGGCTGCAGCAGTGACACTTGCTGCAAACAATAAGGCTAAGTGAAGTGTTAAACTGTCTGTTTTCTGTGACACGAGAGAAACGTTTGTTACTGTTACGATATGGAAAGACTAAAGGAGCTTGGTGTGAGGCATAGCAGTGATGAATAGCGTTTGATCATTCACTCGTCTAAGAGTAGTCGTAAGGCCATACTGCTCCACAATGGAAATGTGTACCCAACTGTGCCTCTGTTGCATGCCACGAGTATGAAGGGGACTTACAAAAGTATGCGACAGATACTTGCTGCACTGAACTATGATAAGTACTGTTAAAACATCTGCGCTGACTTCAAAATCATTGGACTCTGAATGTGTACGCAAGACTTCCCAAAATATTGCTGTTTCTTGGGCTTATGGGACAGTAGAGCAACCCAACAGCACTACACAATCGAAAAGTTGCCAGAGATGACGGAGAATGCTGCAGGGAAAATGAGTGTAAAGCATACACCTCTTGTGCAACCTGATCATATATAGCCACCACCCCCACATATCGAGCTTGCTTTGATTAATAACTTCGTCAAAGCCCTCAAGCGAGATGGTTTTGCGTCTCAATATCTGAAACAGGTATTTTCGTAGACAAGCCACGATCTCTGTGAATTCATCATTTCCCAGTGTCAAGCTGCAGTCAGTAGGTAGCGGTGAGTGTTACAGTAATGTATCAAACGTATTTGTCACACAGATGCATTCTGTATATGTTGTGCCTCAGTACATTTACATATAATTCGTACGGCGCAGCCTTGACATTACTGAAAATATTTCTTTGCTTATAAGAATGTAACCTGACGTGTTAGGTAATATCGGAATGCATTTCTACGATCAGTGAAGTGTACTCTTTAAGTTCGGGACATTGGCAGTTCTTTTATCAAAAAAATAAACGTTTGTTACACAGTAATTGGGAGAGAATGGGTATTTGGCATAAACATAAATGGCCTAAGCAACCATTAAGAATCAAGGCGATTGTGTCTTGTCAACAGCATACCGTTGCAAACAGCTGGCTATTGTACAAGCAGGAGGCAGTATCAGGGACAGCTTTCTTTCGGCTTTCACTGCCCCGCGTCAGCCATTACGCCACAGAAAACTCAGCAGCAAACACACTTTAAACAGGCAGTCCGAGGAGGAGACGACAGAAAACGCGCCAATGATGCCGGCTGAGAGTCAAGAACAATGCGGGTCACGTGGACTCCAGCCTGGAAGGTAAAATGGGCCAGCAATACCCAGTTTGGTCGTCAGTGGCTTCATTTCCTACTGCCAAGTCAAATTTTATTCACCTTCAGTCCCGCGCCATCCAAAAGTAAGCAAAACAAAGCTCCACCCCGTAAATAGTAACCGGGTATACCTAGAACGTTCCCTAGCCAAGGGAACTTATTTAACATTACTTGTTGTTCTGAAGAAGTAAACGGACTAATTCCGCTCAGTACGCACCTATCCGTACCGTCGTTGGAAATGCCCTGGTGTTATGCGACACCAGCAATACTTCGTAGGCAGCGATGAATAAAAACTTAAAGACGCCTCAGATTGTCAGACCGAAGGGACCAAGTTTCGTTGCCACAGAGGATGACGGCCTTCACTGACCCTGTAAACGCCCTGCTGACGGCACACATGTCACGGATACAAGAAAGCAGTTCCAGTTTTCACAATACGTGAACTAAGTTCAGCAATTGCAGTCTTTTGCTGTGGATGCAACTTTCAGGTGATCAACTACTTTGAGTTCCCTGTAATGAGGGATAAAGGGTTCGTCAAGCGGTCTCCTCACTTCTTGCGGTCGCGCTGCTTTGGTGATCTTGTCCTTGTGGGTTTATGCCTCATTACTTCGCGACATATCATTAAACCTATTCATTTGACTCGGATTTATCAGCTCCACAAATTGGACACCTATTTTTCAGATTATTCTTATTGCCTCGACGTCTCATAAACGTTTGCAATGGTGACGAATTTACCAATGCAACTTATTTGCGCAATTGCCCCATACCCAAGCAAGTCTTGGAATTTTTAGACTTGTTCGAAAGTGTTTCCTTAGAACGATCAAGCTAGCTTGAAAAGCGTGCTTCTTCAACGGTTTTGCAGCTGTGAATTGCAATCCAAGGTTGTTCGGACAGTACTCAACCTGAATCAACCGATAAGCGAAGTGTCACCGCGTCCGTCGTGACCCTGTCTACTGGTGTGCCTGTGTGACATGACACGCCGATTAGTATGCAGCGACAGTACCGCGAGATCCCCGTGTATGTTGCCTTTCGAACCACATCGGCAGTCCGACCAGTTTGGAAAACCGGCCAAGATCGGGAAAGAAAAAGAGTAACCAGGGTCAGGTACTGACGCCATGATCAGCAGCAAATGTAAGTGGGATCCGGACGAATGACACGTGTGTGTCGCGTAAATGTAACCTACTAAGCAAATAAGGCTTCGTTTCATCATACTGTTCCAGATACTATCAACTCAAAGGCGCAAAGTTGTCGCAACAAGAAGTAAGCGAGAAGAACAACTCACCAGACGCCCTTTGGTTTCGCATAGTGGTAGACCATTCAATTTGTCAAATGTATGCTTACCCTAGTCCAAAAGTTCGGCTGATTAGCAGCAGAAACCGAACAGCAGATAAACTACAGTAATGCCTCCTTGGAAGCGGATATGTGCCAAAAAGACGGAGTGGCTTCTAAGCAGAGAGCAAGTGATTTAGTTCCCCAAACGCCTTTATTTTCTCCAACTTTTATAGAACATCAGGTGAAAATAAACGGTGGCTCTGATAGTCAAGCGATATTCGGGAGGAAAAAAATTAAGTGCCATCCCGAACACGAAATCCACCAAACCACGCCTAGTTCAACAGCTTTAATCCTTACCAGAAATGGAGGAGTCGACCACCAACCTCCTGCAACGGCATCGCAAAGGTAGTAGATTGGACCCAAATCCCCCGGAACACAAGGCACATACGCAGAGGTTGCTGTCAAGATTATCTGCGATGCCACCCCTACAGTTTCGTATGCTAAAGGTGCCGCTAATGCGAATAGAGAAGCAAACAGTATGTAATCACTAATCGGCAGAACACCAAGACCAGTGCTCGCTAGCATTAACGCTCAAGCTGTCGTGTACATAAATGTCCCCGAGTCTACAACTATCATATCGCGGAGTTAGTTGGCTGACAATATGCACCAATGGATTTCATGTTGTATTTTGATAAACGTCAAAGCCAAGCACACAAAAATAGTACGAGTTGCTCGGCACACTATAACAACCTCCGGGTTATTAATGACTCCAGAAACGTTTAGCTCTAGGCAGGTTCTCTACAATACTGGTCTTGTGGGATAAGCATATATCTTTATGTCCCTTGGAGCGGTATTCAAAAAGTAACAACTCGGAATGATATATTAGACCGCTAAGCACAATATTCATCCATGGCGTACCAGAACGTCCTTCCTACGATAGACAACAGAGCGAAAACCACGACCTGAAACAGTGGTGGTTCACTCGTAAAACATCATCCTTGGACAATGATGTTTTGCTATATATCCGTTTCACCTAATCACAAAGAGTTGTTCCTAAAAGCAGTAAAACTCGCGATGCGAATTGTTAGAATGCCGGTGGAACCATCGGAGAAACATTCTCCAATTAGACTGCAGGCGTCTTACAGAGGTCAGACAGGAAATCGTTTGAACACTCAGTCCTACCGGTGATTATACAAAACCTTCAAGTGTCCACTCGTTCACTCAACTTTGTAGCACGCCTAGAGAAGGGATGGCCAAATTAAGCTGTAGACAAGGTATCAGAATCTCATTAAGTAATGAGTAACGGCCGGCCTCACATTAGTCAGCACACTCTCACATCCGAATCATTTACCCTGGTGTGGGCGCCCTAAAGACCGAGGAAACTAGAATGATTGTACAAGGGTGAGATGCAGAAGTGAACCGTGCGGACTGAAAACCATAATCGGTTCGCTTGCATTTTCCGGCGACGTACGTCTAAAAGCAGGTGGGTACCACAAGAAGGCAAGGCAACATCATTGACACAGTCTCTTTATCTACACTCCGCGCTATAAACGAATTTCAGGCTAAACAGGACAGCAAAATGACACCGGTGTAGGATGTTACACTCGCTTAGGCCCAAAACTAAGTATGGCATGTAGCACCTGAGCGCCAAGCCGGAAAGTGAGGTAAAGTAGTTGCATTTTGCTACCCGCAACTGGGAAGTCTTGCGTAAACTTTATGGTGAGCTATGATGATGACAGTTGGTTTGCGGATCACAACAGAACTACCGGTGCTGCACTGGACTCGCTGTTGGGCTCACAACGTCGAGGAAGATTATTGTGCAAAGTTTAATCGTGGCTTCTAATTTCTACAAAAATAACTAAGTAGTAACCGCGTGAATATCGACTGTATGGTTCAGAATGAGTGTGTTGTCCATACTGCGTCTGACTGGATGGACGGACGTTGAACGCGATCAGTCGATGACAGTAAAGGCACTTCAAAAGACCGAGGGGTGAAGTGCCGTCCTGCTATATGGGAATTTTCGGACTATCTCGTTAGCGAACCAGTGGTGGTATTGCATTCACTTCCCATCTTCTGGTTCTGACTCACAATAGTTAAATATAAAAGATTAAGGGGCGCCATCCTCGATTGACCGTTTTGTTTGTTCTGCTTCACTTCCTTTCAAGATAGTCAATATGTGCGGTTACCGTATCGTGACTCTTGAAAACCCGATACTCCACACTTTGTTGCACGAGTCTAAAAACGACTGAAAATCTTCCCCGAAGACAACACAATAGCACTCAGCTGTCAATCCCCATGTCCGCAATGGCATGTCCGATGGATGGCACTCCGGTCCTTCAAATGAAAATAACCGTTCGTCAAAAAATTAAGGCATGAAAACGAACAAGTCGCCTGCTAACCTTGATGGATAGAGGGTCAAAAGATTTTACAGAATAGAAACCAACCGGTGAGAACTGGAACAATTTTCGCGAGGAGATAAAGCAAATCAGGTAGGTAAAATGACAAAGATTTTCTGACTAACGAGTAAGCACACCTACTTGTACAAACTCCAAGCGGTATCTTGCTTGATATGAGGATCAACGACGGTGACCAACTTACGGCCCTTTTCTTTCAGAGAATCCACCATTTCTCCCGGGTTGTGGAATTTCGGCTTGTCCCAAGTGAAGTACCGCTTACCGTCTGTGTGTTCGATGTCTAGCCAGATGACATCAAGAGGGATTTTGTGTTCGTCAAAACGTTTATCGATAGACATAACATCCTCTTGGTCATTATAATTCCATCGGCTCTGGTGGTACGCTAGGGCGAAAAGTGGAGGAAGCGGTGTGCTACCAGTTAAGTAGGAATAAGCCTTGGAAACGTCTCGAGGATCTCTACCGAGCATAACGAAAACGTCTAAGACACCAGTTTCGGATATCCATCTTGTTTTGGATATACGTTCCGGAGTCTTTAAAAACAGTCGGGGTAACTTGGACAAAAAACTAGATGCTGGGCGGTCGGTATATTCAATGTCTACCCACGTTTCCGAAGGGTTATGCCAGAATATCCCGGTTGTGTAGTTGGTGTTAAGGGCCCATAATACCGGAACAGCCCCATACAGCGCCATCTGGCTGTCAAGTTCGTATTCGAAGACATCCAAGTTGTACAGACGGTAAGGGTCACCTCCTGAGGTATCTTTTAAAACGTAACTATCAGCGTGCTCCGGGAGACCATATACATGTGAAACACCCGGGAAGTCTATGTCCATAGAAATTGAATTAGGGCCATAGGGCCTAGTATCACGATGATCATTAAAAGTCTCAGCCCAAGGATGTGGGTCTTTGACTACATGTTCAGGTGTAATAGTGGCTTCGGTGACACCTTCCTTATTGGTGTCTTCTTTGGGTGGCTCAGTTAATCCATCTACGTTGGGACCATCGGTGGCATCATTGTGTTGAACTGGGGAAAAAGGAGTGGAATCCTCCCTAGGTTCCGGGAGCTCAGAATGTTCTGTAGAAATGGACGGCTCTTGGGTGACTGGTACGCTCAGATTGGGAGTTGGGGGATCACCTTTCTCCTCAAAATTAAACAAATTTCTCCGGTTAACTTGGCATACAAGTGAACCATCAACGTAGAATTCAATACTGAATGGATTATAGTGCAACACTGCCTTATCACCCAGTTTTCCAACCAATGAGAGATGGTTTGTTGAGCGAATAACATCAATCGGCTGGGACTTGGGATCATCTCGTAGTGAATCGCCCACCTCCATACGATAGCGTTTTGGTTCGATTGTGGGCTCATCTACTGTTATTCGAAACGTGGAGAAGGACAAGTAAGATATATCTAATGTGAGATTCTGATTCCCGTTGTGCTTGGATAGGAGAGCAACAAGACCAGAAGAGGTTAAAGTAATTGAGTTCGGAACGACGGAATAAAATAAAGTATCCACTTTAAGCTCGCGTTGACGATTGCAGAACCTAGAACAAATCGATGAGAAAAATAATTAGAAGGTGACTTACGAGCTCTGTTTGCATGTCTTGAAGTTATCCCTGTTGACCGCACCGACTGAGGACAGCAAGACAAGGAATAGTTGCAATGCGAGACATAGAAATGCAGACGATGGTGCAAGTCGTTCAGGAATTTTCATGACTCAGAAAGCTCGTACAAAATAACGCACCAAGAGAAATGAAATCCAAGCTGAAACATGTCCAAGATAGAGGAAAATAAGGAATACAAGTAGTCGTCACAACGGGATTTTTCAATAGATGTCAACAAACACAAATGTGGTCTTATTTCTCACAGCGGCATGGTCATGGTACTCGAAGGACAATTAATGCTTATCGCCTTCTATAGCTCTGTGCCAGTCACGCCTTATTCTTTTTGAGCACATATTGTTGGTACTCCTGGCGCCTGCATGTCATTTAGCAGATCCTTCGCTTGGACAGTTGTGTACACATATCGGCTACAGCGTCATGAGTTATCGCTGGCGGGAGTGCATCAATTTGGACTGCCCGGCCTACTTCAGTTCACGCGCATGTGTGTGCCAAAGTTGCTCTGAATTCTGATGGCCCCCAGTAGCGTCGCCATAAAATGTTCGACGTAGCTGGAATTGCCGCTACTAACCTTCCCAGTGACTTTCGGGGCGCGTTAGCTTCTACTCTGAAAAGCCACCCACTCTCAAACATCGAAGCTTATTTGGCATACATCTAGCGCCACGCACAAGTCCGCCACCGTCGTCTGCGGTTTCACCAAGCACACTATCAGCAAATTGGTTTCCGTACGCTCCGTTCGACTTAAGGAAGTAAACAGAGCAGTTCTTGCTGACATTGGCCACAATACACCGAGCGAAGCTATCACCGTCGAGCTCAAGTGGCTCCCGTCTGTGATTGAAAGTATCAGCGGACTTGTGGCCAAGGGGATCACAAGCCTGTCTTGTAATCCGGAGGTCACAGGTTCGAGCCTGCGAAGGGGAGCAGGCGACCCTCGCAGTATCCTTAGCCCGCGTGCCACTGATGGTGGCAATGTGGCAGCGAAGCGTCGGGATGAAATTCCGGGGTACTGCTGATGTATTTTTCAGATAGCTCCCCAGACAGGGTCACGAAGCCTGGTTGACGAACCGTTTCAATGAGATGAAGTAAGCTGTATGTTCAGGGAAATTCCGCAAACTTTCCTGTCTTATCCAATCTACTTGAAGCAACTGTAAGTAAACTGGCATGTGAAACCATCGGTGAGCCAATTTACAATCGCCAGAGTTGACCTGTGCGTTAGGTGGAGTACTGTGAACAGATATTAAACTGGCCACCGCCACCCTCGTATTTCGATTCCCGCATCTACGGTCCTCCTTGGTGTGCATGCGTCCCTCCGTCATTCGAAAGTGAGGTTCCCTATGACCCTCTTTTTTTGATGGGTCACGAATCTTCTGACCCGGAAGAAACGCCTCTGCCTTATTTCAAAGGTGGTTTATCGCTTCACTGTGACTTAACCTCCTTCCTTCAGGAGACCTGGACCACAGAAGTCGCCCCAACTGATTAGAGCACAGCGGAAATTGTACTTGTCTTCAAAAAATGTGACCAAACAGACCGCACCAAGTACCAAGGGATCTGCCTCCTACACGCTGCGCCCAAAGTCCCAACTACCCCATTTTTAAGCGGGCGTCTCGAATTCAGTAGGAACTCTAACAATGGACCAGATGGCTCATTTTTATACACCATATGACGAACCACAACGTCACTCATTCGTTTCTCCAACCAGAAATGAGTAGCACTGCTCAGGTGCTTTGTAAGCGTAACTGCTGTTTTCCTCTTCCTAAGCACTCACACACCCTGCGGTCTGAAACCAACTGGAAGGGTGTTTATCGATTGACCGCTGGTAAAGTCAACATGTCTGTGCCCACAGTCGCTTTGTATGAACACACCATAGCACTTGTGTTGTTCCCGTTTACTTGGTGTATGCGGTAATGACTAAATGGGTCGATGTGCCAAAAGGTGTTATGCACTTACCCAGATGCAACAGCAGGCATCGCGGGTCGAACACCGTCAACATCATAAAAACCTTAATTTGCGGCACAGTAACTAAATTGTGTTTACCTTCAGATACTGCCTAATGATGATGAGATGATGAGGCTTCAAGGGACGGAGGCTAGATCAATGATGCATGCAGTGGAGCAGTTCGCACCGAAGTACTGTAAACTCGTCCTAACCAACGGACACATATCCCATGTTTCCATAGATGATGGAGAAATATAGAAGCCGTAATAAGTTTGATGGCCGATGCAGTTATCTCACGTGTGATGCGAACACTGGAGGTGATGCAACTGCCAAGGTAACTAAACCGAGGGCTGTGCACCCAGTCCTTCCACATAGAAACGAAGTACAGGCTTCTGGTGTCAATATTCGAAGTGTCGTGTGTTAGACAGGTGGGCACATTGTCAAAAAAGCATCAGCAGTACGCCGGTACGCAGTACCGACGCTTCGCTTCCGCGCAACCACCACCGGTCGAACGTGGACTAAGGATATTACCCCTGCGCAGGCTCGAACTCACGCCGCCAGTTTACAAGACAAGCTCGTGAACTCTAGGCTACGGGCTGGCACATTGACAACATCCGCATCAAGTGCAGCCACACTAGGGATACCAAACAAGCAACACATCATTAGAAGGAGAACAAGCACGCAACACTGGAACGGAATATGCAGTAGAATAAAACAAGTGAGCATATTATATAGTCTAACACTCTTTATCCAGATTGAAAACCAGCTTATGTGTAGCATGAGCAAAGCCCAACATCGGAAAAGAAGCAAGATGTGCACAACGCCAATTAAAGCATGAGGCACAACAATATGCAATCATGCGTTTTTAATATGCATAAGATGAAAAATGGCAAAAAGAAATCATCATCATCAACAGCAGTACATCAGCCATTTGAACTGA